CCATTATGTTGCTCCCCCTCTTCATGGAGGAACGACACTAAGCCCTGCCTAGGCTTCATATCCGAGTCACGGCACCATTATGTCGCTCCCCCTCTTCATGGAGGAACGACACAGGACCCTGCGCTGTTCTTTTGTCTGCTCGGCCTTCCCGGGTTTGCTGCTGGTTCTTCCCGGGTTGGCTACCGACCCTTCCACCTCCGTGGAAGGGCGGTTCCCCCTAGCCACTTTCCCCACTTCCGCAGGGGAGCGGCACACCGCCGGCCGGCTCTCTCGGGGGCTGCACGGCTGGCTCTCTCGGGGGCTGCACAGGTGTTCCTTCAGATAGATGTTCCTGGTGCATGTTGTCTCTCTCCTCCTTTATAGTCCTCTTCCACCAATCCCAACTCTGCTACCCACACGCCGAGTACGCTGCTCTCCTCCAATCAGGAGCAGGTCCTACAGTTTATTGGTTGAACTGGAGGCAGCCGTGTAGAAGCTGTTTCTCCCTTCTCAGCGCCATATTGTGGGAGAGCAGATGCATAGAATAAGTCTTAATTCCAGTAACTTAGTCTAGTCTGAGTTGCTCCCCACAGGGAGTGTCCTTGAATCAGAGTCCCAGCAGGGCTGTGAATGCTGATGCGACATCAGGCCCTGGGTCTCCCAGCCTCCCTCCCTCAGCTGCTGAATGGAGGGAGTGGCACAGCCAGCCCTCGAGATGCCAATCAGCAGACCCATGAGGTCATTTGCTTCCCCAACAGATCAGGGCAGGATTTCTCCTCGGGGAATTCCAGGTCTGGGCAGGGGAATTCCAACTCCCACCTGCATGAGGCTCCCAGGGGACTGAGGCCACCTGGCCATGGTAAAAATCCCCAAAGAGGACGGCACCTTGATGAGTAAGGAGCTCAGACATGGGCTGAACATGTAACAGATGCTGACTGTGTCTCCAACCAGCCCCCACGCACGCGGCTCTCCCTGCCCTCTGTTCCCCATTCCTGACTTCCCCTTGCTTGCAGCCTCCTTAGAAACCCCCAAGCAGGCTCTGTGGCGTAGCAGGTAAGGTCGCCACCTGCGATGCAGGCATCCTATACAGGTGCCGGTTCAAGACTCGGCGGCTCCACTTCCCAGACAGCTCCCTCCTAATGCGCCTGGGAAAAGCAGTGGAGGGTGACCCAAGTGCTTGGGCCCTGCCACCCACATGGGAGACCTTGCTGGAGCTCCAGGCTCTGGCTTCAGCCTGGCCCAGCCCCTGCCACTGCAGCCATTTGGAGAGTAAACCAGTGGATGGAAGCTCTCTCTCTTTGTAACCCTGCCTTTCAAAAATAAATAAACCTTTAAAAAGCGAAACCCCAGAGCAGGCGAAGTTCTTGACCTGGAAAGTGTGCCGTGACGCTCTGTGGAGGGGTTACACTTTCCTCCGCCCGCAAACCTCGTGCCAGTTGTGATGGGCACCGCGGACAGGGACGGAGCTGGCGGTGCCCCGTCCCCTCCACGGCCTCGGCCCTTCTTTCTAATCTCAGATCCCGGACTCCCCAGGCCAGTCGTCCAGTTTCCGTATCCTTCTCTCCGTTTTCATCTTTCAGCTCTCCTTTTGGGAGACCACCTCAACCTTATTTTCCACACATTCTCTGAATATTATTTTCAACAGTGCATGGTTTTCGTTACACTCCCGCTTACTGTCTTCTCCACACTTAGACACCATCATCTGATGGAGTGTTCTGCCGCCACGCTGCCTTCGTCTGCTCCTTGTCTCTCATCTCACCCACGACGCTTCCCACACACGCCTAACCTCTGGCACTTCTCACGCTCACCAGAGAAGCGCGGGACGCCACCCGGGAGCTGCAGAGGCACGGGCAAAACTCTCCCACCACTGGGCCCCTGGGCAGCCAGCAAACTCCCCTGGGGGTCCACAGATGCTAGGAGCTGCAAGCCTTCTCTCTGGCGGCCGGTTCTCCAGAGAACAAGCCTCTAAGTTCCTCACCGACCTGCCTGCTTGGCCACGGTATTCAGGAAGTGGAGCACACGGAGGAAGGCTGGACGCCTCAGCCTTCTTGGAGGTAAGCTCCTTGTCAGTTCAGAACCGTACTCCACGTGGTAACTTCCAAACCCAGCCTCCCAGCCTGGCTCCCCCAGCGGGAGTGGGCGCGGGGGCAGGGGTGGGGCGGGGAGGCCTGCGGTGAGCCGGGCCTGCTTTGTGTTTTCTCGGTTTGCACTCCGCCCCTTTTCCGGCTTAGCCTTTACCTTGCTCCACTCTGCTGGGTCACCACTTGTCATTTAGATGCTTTCAGAACTTGTGGAGGTCCCTCAACTGCTGTCTCTGTTCCTGTTCTTTGTCCTTGGGGATTTTATGCCTTTTTAAAAAAATTTTATTTATTTAGAGGCAGAGTTATAGACAGAGGGAGAGGGAGAGACATCCATTGGTTCCCTCCCTAAATGGCCACAACAGCTGGAGCTAAACTGATCCGAAGCCAGGAGCCAGGAGCTTCCTCCGAGTCCCCCAGGCAGGTGCAGGGGCCCAAGGACTTGGGCCATCTTCCACTGCTTTCCCAGGCCATAGCAGAGAGCTGGATCGGAAGTGGAGCAGCCAGGACTAGAACTGGCACCCACATGGGATGCCAGCCCTGCAGGCCGAGGCTTTACCTGCTATGTCACAGCGCCGGCACTGATTTTATAATTCTAAAGTAAAGCATCACACAGAACAAGACAAACTAAACCTGAGTCTATGAAGATGAGACTGAGTTACCATTTAAAAAATAATAATTGGGGGCCGACACTGTGGCGTAGCTGGAAAAGCCACCGTCTGTGGTGCCATCATCCCATATGGGCACCAGCTCAAGTCCTGGCTGCTCCACTTTTTTTTTTTTTTTTTAACAGGCAGAGTGGACAGCGGGAGAGAGAGAGAGACAGAGAGAAAGGTCTTCCTTTGCCGTTGCTTCACCCCCCAGTGGCTGCTGCGGCCGGCCCACCGCGGTGATCCAAAGTCAGGAGCCAGGTGCTTCTGGTCTCCCATGCGGGTGCAGGGCCCAAGCACTTGGGCCATCCTCCACTGTACTCCCGGGCCACAGCAGAGAGCTGGACTGGAAGAGAAGCAACCGGGACAGAATCCGGCGCCCCAACCAGGACTAGAACCCTGTGTGCTGGCACCACAGGTGGAGGATTAGCCTAGTGAGCCGCGGCGCCGGCCCTGGCTGCTCCACTTCTGATCCAGCTTGCTGCTAATGTGCCTGGGAAAGCAGCAGAAGATGGCTTAAGTCCTTGGGCCCCTCTCCCACCTGGAATAAACTACAGGCTCCTGGCTTTGGCCTGGCCCAGCCCTGGCCATTGCAGCCATTTGGGGAGTGAACCAGTGGATGGAAGAACTCTTTCTCCTTGTTTCTCTGTAATTCTGCCTGTTAAATAAATAAATAAATCTTTAAAAAAAATATATACACACACAAAAAGCACAAAGTTGAGCTGATGTTTGCTGACTTCTGCCAACTGCAAACAGCTTTGTTGTCAGCATGCAGAACAGGTAAGAGAACACTAGTCATACTCTGAATGCCTCCGAGTCACTGCCTCCCGTCAAGGGTGACGTCAGAGCTCTGTGCTTCTCTTTGAACTGGATTTTCCCCACCCCTGTTCCTTGAAGATGACCCCAGTGACTCCCACCTCCTGGTGTTCACACTCTCGCCAGAGCTCCTCCCCTAGAGTACGGGCAGGACCTGTGACTTGCTTTAACCAGTACAATACACACAGGCACAGGAAGTCATTTCTGTGATGAGACGACACAGGACTGTGGCCTCTGTCTTGCGAGAAGACTCTACTGCCATTTCAGTTAGCACACTGGACAAGGTGAGCCATTAGGCTGTACTGGCCCAGGTGACAAGGACCGAGGGTAACCTTGTCCCACAGTCCTGGCTGACCCCCAGGCTGGGGCCCAAGCCCTGCCAACAGCCATGACCAGAGACCCTCCCTCTGACTGGGCCTTGAGAACCTGGCCACTGCCCAACCTGGCAGAAGCCTGTGAGGGACCCTGGCATACGGGACCCCGTCAGCTGTGTGGGCTCCTGACTCACAGAAGATGAGAGTGTAAATACTCGCTGTTCTCAGCTGCTAAGTCTGTGCTAATGTGCCACACAGGAACAGATAACTAACCCGAGTACGTTCATGGGATCTGCTTACTGCTACACTGCAGTGGTAGTTCGTTCATTTCCAATGCTCTGTTGTGAATGGCATTCGGCAGGTTTTCAGCTTGACCGTTATGAGTCGAGTAGATGCTATAAACACTGTTCACGGCTTCTGATGGCCACGCGTTCGTCATCTCACGGGGCAGTACTCAGGAGCAGACACTGAATCGCGGGTGCGCCCAACCTCAGCAGATGCTGCCAAGCCCACTTCAGCATGGGCATTCCAATCCAGGGTCCAGCCGCCGTGCCTGCACTCACCCTCAGCACCACAGCAATGTTCAATTTCAGCCCCTCCGGTGGCGAGCTGTGGGATCACGCGGTGCTTGGGATCTGCCTCCCTCAGCGCCAGCCAAGACCCGTGCTGTCTCATATGCTTACTGGCGCTTGGCTATCCTATTGTGAACTATCTGTGTAAGTCTCCTCCCAAGTTGCTATTGCACCGTCTCTACCATATGGATCTGAGAAGCTTTCTGTCCCTATGAGAGTCCTTTGTCCTACACACAGAGATGGGGAGAGATGGAGCGGACAGCCCCACACTTGAGAGAGCACAGTTTCTCCTGTTCTGTGGCTTCCCCTCTCTTGCTCTTCACATTATGTCTTGATTAATGCAATTTCTTGATAAAATCCAAGTTGTCAATTTTTCCTGAACAATTGAAAACCTTCTTGTGAGCTGTTAAAAAAAAAAAAAAACTGGGGCTGGTGCTGTGGTGTAGTGGATAAAGCCACCACCTGCAGTGCCAGCATCCCAAATGGCTTCAAGTCCCAGCTGCTCCACTTCCAATCCAGCTCTCTGCTATGGCCTGGGAAAGCAGTGGAAGATGGCCCAAGTCCTTGGGCCTCTGCACAGTGTGGGAGACTGGGAAGAAGCTCCTGGCTCCTGATAGGCGCAGCTCCAGCCGTGTGGCCAACTGGGGAATAGTGAACCAGTGGATGGAAAATCTCTCTCTGACTCTGCCTCTCTAATAAAAATAAATCTTAAAAAACAATGGGGCTTGGGGCCGGCGCCTTGTCTCACTTGGTTAATCCTCTGCCTGAGGCGCCGTCATCCCATATGGGCACCGGTTCTAGTCCTGGCTGCTCCTCTTCCAGTCCAGCTCTCTGCTATGGCCCAGGAAGGCAGTGGAGGATGGCCCGAGTGCTTGGGCCCCTGCACCCGCATGGGAGACCGGGAGGAAGCACCTGGCTCCTGGCTTCGGATAGGCGCAGTGCCAGCCATAGTGGCCATTTGGGGGGTGAACCAATGGAAGGAAGACTTTTCTCTCTGTCTCTCTCACTGTCTAACTCTATCAAATAAATAAAAAATTAAAAACAAAAACAAAAACAAAAACAATGGGGCTGGCGCCATGGTGCACTAGGTTAATCCTCTGCCTGCGGTGCCACCATCCCATATGGGCGCTGGTTCTAGTCCTGGTTGCTCCTCTTCCAGTCCAGCTCTCTGCTGTGGCCCGAGAAGGCAGTGAAGGATGGCCTGAGTGCTTGGGCCCCTGCACCCGCATGGGAGACCGGGAGGAAGCACCTGGCTCCTGGCTTTAGACTGGCGTAGCTCTGGCTGTTGCGGCCATCTGGGGAGTGAACCAACGGAAGGAAGACCTTTCTCTCTCTCTCTCTATAAATCTACCTGTAAATAATAAAATCCCTGTTTTCTCCATGATAGGCAGAGTTAGAGAGAGAGAGAGAGAGAGAGAGATCGAGATAGAGCTTCTTACGGAAGTTTCCCCCCCAAGTGGCCGCTACGGCCAGCATGCTGTGGCCGGCGCACTGCGCTGATCTGAAGCCGGGAGCCAGGTGCTTCCTCCTGGTCTCCCATTCGGGTGCATGGCTCAAGCACTTGGGCCATCCTCCACTGTACTCCCGGACCACAGCAGAGAGCTGGACTGGAAGAGGAGCAACCGGGACAGAATCCAGCGCCCCAACCGGGATTAGAACCTGGGGTCGGCTGCAGCGTGCTGGCCACGGCGGCCATTGGAGGGTGAACCAATGGCAAAGGAAGACCTTTCTCTCTGTCTCTCTCTCTCTCTGTCCACTCTGCCTGTGGCAAAAAAAATAATCTGGGGTGCTGGCACCACAGGCAGAGGATTAGCCTAGTGAGCCACGGCACCGGCCAATAAATAAAATCTTTAAAAAAAACTTTGCCTATTTCAAGGTCACAAGAATGTTCACCAATACATCCTTCTAAAAGCTTTATTATTAGAGGTCTGATATTTAGACCTGCAATCCGCCCAGAATGGATTTTTGAAGATGGCATGAGCTTGGGTAAAGATGATTTTTTTCACTGAGTTGTAACAGCATCATTTTTTAAAAATGTAATCTCTGAGTTAAATTAGTATTTCCCCCAAATTGCCTTTTTTTTTTTTAAAGGATTTTATTTGAGAAGCAGAGTTACAGACAGAGAGGTTGAGACAGAGAGAGAGGTCTTCCATCCACTGGTTCACTCCCCAAACAGCTGCAATGGCCAGAGCTGGGCCGATTTGAAGCCAGGACCTTCTTCCAAGACTCCCACATGGGTGCAGGGACCCAAAGACTTGGGCCATCTTCTACTGCTTTCCCAGGCCATTGCAGAGACCTGGATACAAAGAAGAGCAGCTGGGACATGAACTGGCGTCCATATGGGATGCTGGCATTGCAAGCAGAGGCTTAGTCTACTACACCACAGTGCCTGCCCCAACAGCAGCTTGACAGAATCACTTTTTAGTGTGAGCTGTATCAGAGTTAAGAAGATGTGTTCAAAACTGCTACAGATTTTACAAATAAATGTTATAATTACTTTTAAAAAGATTAAAATTTTAGGGACTGGCATTGTGGTGCAGTGGGTTAAGCCGCCACCTGTGATACTGGCATCCCATGAATACCAGTTCAAGTTCTGGCTGCTCCACTTCTAATCTACCTCTCCACTGATGAGCATGGGAAACAGCAGCAGGTGGCACAAGTGCTTGGGCCCCTGCCACCTACACGCAAGACTCAGATGGAGTTCCAGGCTCCTGGCTTTGGTCTGGCCCAACCTCAGCTATTGCAGCCATTTGAGGAGTAAGCCAATAAATAGAAAATCTCTCTCTGTCTCTCCTTCTGTCTCTTTAACTCTGCCTTTCAAAGAAATAAATAAATCTCAAAAAAATATGAAAATCTGCACATGGACAACTAACTTGCCCAGCTGATTTCCTGAAAGGCCACTGTCTCCCGTGGCCTTTCCATAAACCAGGTCACTGTACATGTGTGGCTCTGTCTCTGGACTCTGTTCCACTAACTCATTTCACCTTCAGCCTCATGAAATCCTTTATTACTTGTGTGGGTTTGGGGGAGGAAGGGTCACAAGCTCTTTCTGCACCTGTAATTATTAATTTGGAAGTCCTCAAGCACATGTTGTGCAAATTCAGTCATGCCCCACCTGGTCCTCTAAGTGGCAATGACTAAGTACACTAATGCTTAGAAAAATCACTCATTACATTTGTATGAGGAGCAGTGTGAGCTTCCACACCTGTCTGGCTCACTGCCGTCTTCAATGGCAGAAAACAATTCATGCCCGGAACGGAACACACGTTCAGGAAGTGTTTGCTGAGTGAATAATGATGCGGCTGGAAAGACTATGGAGATAAGAGGACAGTTCTAAAACCACACTATGAATTTCTTCCACGTTAATCACCTCCGACCATTTTCTTTGTTTCTCATTAGGAAATAATCTACTTCAATTAGCGCACATTCTGCACCCCCAGAGGCGGTGAGAACCGGCAGTGATCACCAGGAGCAACGTCAGGGGAGCGGTGAGGGTGGCCGAGGGCCTTCCTGAAGCAGGCACAGCCGAGGTCCCAGCCGCCAAGAGCTGGAGGACCACAGCTTGCAAAGCCCCTCTGAGGGCCGGATGCTCGGTCTGGAAGGTAGGACGCTGGTTAGGACCCCTGCCTCCCGCATCAGAGGGCCTGGGTTCAGTCCCCAGCTCTGGCTCCCGACTCCAGCTTCCTGCTGACGCAGACCCTGGAGGCAGCTGGGATGGCTCAAATGACCAGGCCCCTGCCGCCCACGTGGGAGACCTGGATTGAGGTCCTGGCTCCTGGAACTCCAAAGCACTGCAGGCATCTGGGGAGTGACCCAGCAGATGGGAGCTCAGACTTCAAAATAAATAAATAGTAACTTAAAAAACACCTTTTAAGTCCAGTTTCTGTGGCGAGAAGTATGTTGAAATGAGCTCGGCACAGGTTTCAGTAAAGCCATCTCAGGGCCGCACCTTCACTCTGTGCCTCTTCACCCATGGGCACCACACTCACGGTGTCGGGGAAGCCATGATCCTAACATGGTCCCAGGACACATACAACACCTTAACACAAGCCTGTTCGTATCTCCACCTGGCAAAGACCTCACAAACAAACTCCAGCAAGGCTACCAAGGAAAACACCCACCACACCAAATACAAGCACAGGAAGAGTTACGTAACTAAGTTCAATAAGGAAGAACTGACGCTGCTGCCTGTGACCTGTTTCCATTCCGTCTCCTCCCCGAAGATGCCCAAGAACTTCCGCTGCACAACGGCCTCACCTGATCACGGCGTCCACTGAGAATGGCGCTGGGGGAGAGATCAGCGAGAGTCCGTCTTTTTTACCGGCTCCCTCCTTCCCCGCCAGGGATGCTCCACAGCCCACGAGGCCGTTGGAAATGGCATTGCTCTGCTGGGGATAGGAACACACAGGTCAGCAGTGGGGCTCCAGGTCAGCTTCACCAGTGACCACGCAGGACAGAAGATGGTTTGGAGGGTCAAGGTTGATTTTTATTTATTTATTTTTTTTGACAGGCAGAGTGGACAGTGAGAGAGACAGAGAGAAAGGTCTTCCTTTTTGCCGTTGGTTCACCCTCCAATGGCCACTGCAGGCGGCGCACTGTGGCCGGCGCATCACGCTGATCCAAAGCCAGGAGCCAGGTGCTTCTTCTGGTCTCCCATGCGGGTGCAGGGCCCAAGGACTTGGGCCATCCTCCACTGCATTCCCGGGCCACAGCAGAGAGCTGGCCTGGAAGAGGAGCAACCGGGACAGAATCCGGCGCCCTGACTGGGACTAGAATCCGATGTGCCGGCGCCGCAAGGCAGAGGATTAGCCTATTGAGCCACGGCACCGGCCAGATTTTTATTTTTGGAAATGTTCCTCACTCAGATTTCTGTTTTTGTGGTCAGCATTCTTAAGCATCCAACAGAAAAGTGTGGTTCCTAGTGGGAAGCTTGTGTGCTGAGAGAGCTCAGATAATGACACCCCTGTTGGAAAGGGAACCTTTGTGATCCATTAGCCCTCACTCTGAAAGGGAAACCGGAAGGAAAAAGATGCCAAGTATCGTGAACTTACAGGAATAATCCACCGGGGGGTGATCGTGGATGCTGAAGATACCTAAAACAAATTTTAGACATGAATTTACTTTTGGGGGAGACAGATTTATTTCCACAACTAAAATGCTTTCTGCTACAGTGAAATGCACCGTGGGTGCTGATGTAGATTTCTGAATCTGAGACCCTTTCTGGGAATGCACGCTGTGTCTCACCACAGAAAACCTGTCCTAATTTAAGGGTCTCTTTAATCTGCAAATTCAGTGCTCGGAAACGCTAGGACTACTTTCAGTTCGTTAAACAGGACTTTTCCTTCCCCACACCTACTAGTCTCACATTTCACTTTCTGAAATTTCAGTTAAGTACAAATGATCCTTGCTTCCTGCTGGCATCCTGGAAAATGGACTGTGATCAATCCAAGGGCACAGCACAAGGACAGGCCCAAGTGAAACACCTGTCCACACCCCGGGCCGTGCGACAGCAGCCAGAGGACACCTCCCTGAGCCGGACTCCCAGCCTCTGTAAGTGTCTAGTCTTCTAGACTTCGCTTCTATGTGCAGGGTTATGACCTCGTTAGCCTCCTCCCCTTTATGGAAACTGAGGCTAGTCCTTGCACTGGTGGCCTTAGATACTGCTAAAATTTTAAAGTAAAAATTAATATAAGTCAGGGTCTTCCTAAGTTAGATAACCATCCAAAGAATAAAAATATAAAGTATAACGTTCCTTCCTATATTAGGAATATGTGCATTAATGGTAGGAAATAGAGAAGTATGGCAAATAATAAACAAAAAATGGTTTAGCAGAAGTAAATCCTAGAATAACCATAATTACAATAAACATAAATGGGTTGAACTCAGAGGATGGACTCTCAAATATGACTTGTCAAAAGAGAGCCTAGCAAGTCATGCTGTAAATTTTTTAAAAAATCAAATATGCCCTTATTGTCTTCTTTTTTTTTTTTTTTTTAAGATTTATTTTATTTATTTGAAAGACAGAGTTACATAGATAGGTAGATACAGAGAGAGAGGTCTTCCATCCCCTGGTTCACTCCCCAGATGGCTGCAAAAGCCGGAGCTGCACCGATCCGAAGCCAGGAGCCAGGAGCTTCCTCCGGGTCTCCCACGTGGGTGCAGGGGCCCAAGGACTTGGGCCATCTTCCACTGCTATCCCAGGCCATAGCAGAGAGCTGGATCAGAAGAGGAGCAGCCGGGACTAGAACCGGCGCCCATATGGGATGCCGGTGCTTCAGGCCAGGGCTTTAACCTGCTGCACCACAGTGCTAGCCTCATGTCTTAATTCTTAAATGCTGATTTACCACCATGTTTTCTCTCATTTCATTTAATATGGTCTTGAATTACAAATAGGCTTACAATGGCATCTTATTTCTATTCAGTGATGTGCAAATTCAAAGTGACACGGAAAGGCAATGCTAAGTGGTTACTGAAATATAAATGAGGGGCTGGCGCTGTGGCGTAGTGGGCTAAGCCACCTGTAGGGCCGGCATCCCATATGGGCGCCAATTCATGTCCTAGCTGCATCTCTTCATATCCAGCTCTCTGTTATGGCCTGGGAAAGCAGTGGAGGATGGCCCAAGTCCTTGGGCTCCTGCACCCGCATAGGAGACCCAGAAGAAGCTCCTGGCTCCTGCCTTCAGATTGGCCCAGTTCCGGCTGTTGCAGCCATTTGGAAGTGAACCAGTGGAAGGAAGACCTTTCTCTCTGTCTCTCCCTCTCTGTAACTCTGGCTCACAAATAAAATAAATAAAAATCTTTTTAAAAAAGAAAGAAAGAAAAGGAAAACTCTGGAATGCAGCAGGAGTGTTTCTCAAAACAGAACTGCATTCCCCTCCGCTGTGCTGAAGCACACTCACCTGCGGTGTGACGGTGCGGTCAGCGAGATTCTCCGTCAGAGACAGGAGCAAGGCGTCCAGCTCGTCTGTGGCCTCCTAGGGAAGTCAAGGCATCTGTAGTTGTTAAGTGGCTCATTTGTCATCACTGAGTTCCTCCCCTCCTCTCAACTGGTCATTTGGACCCGGGTCTTTAAACAAGCAGGATTCCAGGAACCATGGCCGTAAATGACTCCACTTCTGCACAAGGGGCACCGAGGTTACAACTGGACTCAAACAGGAAGTGTCAGGTGAGTTTTCACACCGCTGGTCCCTTGCTGAGACAACGCAGGCAGGGGTAAGACTGCCCTGGCTCCTAACTTTCAGACTAGAGGAGAGTGCCAAAAGGCTTGGCCCAGGAACTGGCGGATAAAGGAGAAGCCTGAACTCTCAATGCTTCTCTATCTAGATGGGGGCATCACCGTTGATATGAACTCTTCCCCAGTAAGTGGCAATTGATCATTTCTGTTTAACTAGTATTTGAAACACCTTACAAAGGGCCCTGGTCTGTACTGCAGTGTGAGTGTTTAAAGAAGGAGTAGGAAGAATTTAAAAACAACAAAATTCCAATCTAGCAATAAGAATAAAAAAGGAACTAGGATGCAGTATGTAAGAAAAAAGCCCCTTTGTACATCTTGACTTTGACCTTCAGGCCTTGGTGAACCTTCCGTTGGTATTTCAGCATGCAAGTTAATTTTCATCATATCTATGACAGAATGCTCTCTCTCCTCTCCACATCCTCCTCTTTGTCTGCCCCACCCCTCCCACCCTGCTGCCTGGGAGAGCACACGACCACCACAACACACACTACACTTCTGTCCCCCACTCTGAATGCAAAGACTCATTCTTAGCAGGGGCTCAAGCACTTGAGCCACGATCTGCTGTCTCCCAGAAGTCATTAGTAGGAAGCTGGATCAGAAGCAGAGTAGTCAGGACTTGAACTGGCACTTTGATCTGGGATGTGGGTGTCCTAAGGCCATGGTTAGCCTACTGTGCCACAACACCATGCCTATCATGTGGTCTGGGGTGTACTATATACACAATAAATCTTTGAGCCACATATCCTTCTAAAGACATTTCACATGCACTTATGACTTCCAGTGACTAGTCAAAGATGTCTCTATGCCTCGGATGATCACTGACGTCATAAAAAAAGTGTTAATTGATAAAGGAACAACAGTAGTCACTGTGCACTTGCTCCCCGTCTCCACTGAATTGTAATATGAGAATCAACTGCAAACTCTCTCCCCAAACTGTACTCTATATGTTGTGTGTGGATGTGGGTGAAATTGTTGAAGTCTATGATTAGCATAGAGTTGGTCCTCTGTATATAAAGTCATGCTAAAAATGATCCATAATGAAGGAGGAGATGGAAGAGGGAGAGGGAGGTGGAATGGGAGTGGGGAGGGGCACGGGGGAAAGAACCACTATATTTCTACAGTTGTATCTATGAAAAAATGCATTCATTAAGAATGAAAAAAAAGCTAAGCTAAAAAAAAAGATGTCTCTACATCTTTTTAGAATTTGAATTTGCAGAATATAAGCTTCCAGTTAAAGGTAATGCAGGTTTTTCTTTAAGTCAAAAAGTCTGAAAGGTAATACACCAAATGAGAACTACACCCTGTCTTTGGGTAGTGAGAATAAAGACAACTTCCAATTTTTCCTTTTTGTGAAATATTTGGTAAATTTTTATAATAAATGTACCTTATGCAATAAAAGAAAAAATGCTTACTTGCAAGGACAATTTTGAAATTTAACTTGCAAACTGAAACATTCATGGGGAGTGGACATTTGGCCTACTAGAAAAGACACCAGTACAGATATGTTCATCAGATCAGAGAGCCTGGGTTCAAGCCCCGGCTCTGCTTCCTATTCCAGCTTCCTGCTAGCGTGCACCCTGGGAGGCAGGAGTGAGGGCTCAAGGGGTTGGGTCTCTGTCACTCATGCTGGAGACCAGGACGGAGGTCCTGGCTCCCAGCTTCAGCCTGGCCCAGCCCAGCATTTGGAGAGTGAACTGGATAGGAGCTCTGTCTCTCCAATCATTCTATAAAAAAATTCATGGGCAATGAACTGGGTTTCTATGATTTCTGAGTTGGTATAGATATGACAAGTGAATACAGGAAAGGCACAAGTTAACTGGTTACATGACAACACAACCAGCGGCAGGTCCTTCTTATTTCAAAAAGTTTACTGCAATCCACAATTTAGTGCACACAATATGTCATGTACTCTTTGAGATACTGCTCATACCGCAATGACCCAAACAGGTCAAGTCTCTCACAAGGCTTACATTCCGTGCAGCCAATCAGACTCAAATTTCAACATTACCCACGTGTCAAAGATCTAGAGATCTTACGAACTGCCTATTTACATATAAAACACTATCTTCTGATAAGAAAAGCTGAAACACAGCTAGAGTTCACAACTACCGCAATAACAAAAATGCAAACATCACGAAGACTGCAGAAACCCTGAGATACTCTTGTGGAGGATGTGGCCATAGGATTCTCCTTAGGGAGCTGACAGCTCAAGTCCCAGGGCCAATGAGAAGTCACCAGGTGTCCCTGGTCACACGACAGGAGTCTACTCCATACTGCCTTTGCAGGAACTTCGGGAGTGACAGTCGTCTTACCTTCAGGATGGAACTGCTGTCTGCAGGTGCGGCAGGCGGGAGACCAAGAGCGTCTCTGGAGAGGGGCAGGTTACTGTCATTTAACGCAGTACTGGGAAGGAAAAGTCAAACCCACGTCAGGGAGGAACTGTACAGTTATCCACAGCGTCCTCAGGGAAAGAAACTAAAGTAGGAGAGGAAGGAGTAAGAGCTGAGGGGCACACAGCAGGCGGGGCTGCACCCACACCTCTGTGAGCCCGCCTGCATCCCTGCCCAGCCACCACGCAACAGCTCTCACGCCCACGTCACTCTCACCCAGGCTGAAACAGCACACTGCCTGGCCTCCCTCCTCAAACCTCACCAGGACAATAGGAAAGATTTTCTTGAACAACAAGAAAACGTTCATAACAGGTAAAGACTGTTAAATAATGGTCCTGTTCCCATCCCCTCCTTGGTAAGCAACTATTTTTGATAAGGTTATTCTGCAAGTCTTCAATAACAATAAAAGTACTAAAAATGTCAGTACTAATATTTATTAAAATTAATTTAAAAGGAGCTATTCCAGTTTCACTGTGATCACTGCTGGTTTCTTCACCCCACGCTGACCGTAGCCTGCAGACAACGCGTGCTGTGTGCCTGTACACCATGTTGAGTATGTCTGAGTAACTACCTGCCTGAGTAACTAGCCCTACCCTGAGAAACTTTCGAATAATGGGAAACGAAACAGCATTCATTCACCAACAAAAGCACCAACTAACTACAGAACACTGGATACACAGGAAAGAGCAAAGCAAATTGGCAGAGTAGGGAATGCAAGCTTAACGAGACAAGTAAACAGCATAAAACTCATTAAAGAAAACAAAGGCAGAAGGGACCTGAAGGGAGCAGCAAAGACCGTGAGAGCCCACAGTCAGCAAGTCTGCCAGCTCGGGGCACCGTGACGCCAGGGTGCACAGAAATTAACCACGACTCCCCAGACACAGAGCGTCCGTCCTTGCAGGTGCCCTGCGAGGCGGAAAATAGCTCTAAAAATGGTGTCTGCTCCACAATTTGAGTCAGTTGAAGATGAAAGGGGATGCAGGGAGACTAGCTAGTATCTTCAGATAACCTAAAGCTAGTTACTAAGTAGCTCTACCACGGCCAGGAAAGAGCGAATTCAACTGCCTTTTACACATATCCTGAGAGCACGTGGTGGAAGACTGGGGAAGAAGAAAAAAGACTGAAACGCCAGCAGGAACAACCAGCACCACGCTCACTCAGTGTAGCCTAGCTGTACCTGCTTGTGGAAGCATCCTGGATACTGGTGTTTTTATGGCTTAAGGCATCTTCTCTTGAAACCTAAGAAAACGAATTCATAAAGAAGTTAATCTTGTTACTAAAGTAACAAGACTTTCTAGTAAAAATAGAATTATCAGTTTGCTTCTGTTCAAAAAAGAGGTCACTGCACCTTATCAGTACTGCAACCAAGAGCCAACGTTAGCGTGTTTGGGATACAAATTCACACGTACATGTCACAGAGTTCTCAATTATGTAAGGCACCAGTCTGTTAACTCCACATATATAAGGGCACTTCAAGAAGTTCTTGGAAGATTAGAATTAAGAAATAAACTTTGGTGCGAAATTATTTTGAAATCCATGCAGTTTTTTCCTAATACACCTTTCCACAAACTTTCTGAAGATCTTTTGTATTTAAATGTAGTATAAAATAGCCATGTTAAATGCTGCTTGATGAATTTTGAAAAATATATCCAGGTATATTTGTAATTTCCCATCTCCTCCTTCCCAAATATTCTTGAGACTTCTCACATAACCCCCTCAAAAGCCCTCAAAGCAACCAATGAACTGTATACTTCCTACAGTTTCATATACTTGGAATCATATAACAATACCCCTCTTCTGGGTCTGCCTCTTTAGAGTGGCATGATGCTTTTGAAGTTCACCCGTGCTTGCTCCACGTATTACTAATTCATTCTTTTTATTTGCTTTATGGATACGCTGCAGTGTGTATCTGTTGATAAGACATCTGAGCTTTGTCTAGTTTTTAGTTATAAACCACGCTGCAAGGAACACACATTTCCCTTAGGTAAATATCTAAGAACGGAACTGCTGGGTCAGATGGTAGGAGTATGTTTAATACAGTGCCAAGCTCTCTTCTGAAGTGTTTATCTGACTGCATACCCCACCACATGTACTGCTGTGTGTACCTACCGCACACTGAGAACAGCAATGTACACAAAACCATGCACTCCATCGTTTCCCGCGGGGGAGACCAGGATGGAGTTCCCGGCTCCTGGCTTTGGCCTGGTCTGGCCCTCACTGCTGCAGCCATCTGGGGAGTGAACCAGTAGCTAAAAGACATCTCTCGCTCTGTCTTCGCCACTTTATCTTTCAATAAATGAAATGAATACTTAAAAAAATTAAAAATCACTAGGTTTCCTGGCTATAAAACTAGGCCAAATTAAAGATTCACTTTTACAGGAATTTGGCTTTTTTTTTTAAAGCTTTTAAACCCCAGCATCTCTACTCTTGGTTTTTACCCCACAACTGCCTCGTCTTGATTAGCTTGGTTAGAATCTAGAACCGAGGAAGGCGTTTTGCCATCCTGAGTATATTCTTGGTTCTGCACTTGAACCATCCGCCAAGCCCTGCACTGTGCACTTCACGAGGACTCTCCCCATTCAAAGCAGCTCACCTTATGCACCGCTTCTACTTGAGCTTTCAAAATGTTACTCTTGAAGTCAGGAGGAACTCTCACGGTGTTCAGTCCTGAGCTCTCGATGGCATTATTAAGACATTTCTCAGTCAACTTCACCACCTCCTCCTGCGTGTGAAAAATATGCTATCACCCGCTCATAGACCACAGTCACATGGAAACAGGACATGACTCGATGGAAGCTCATATCCAGGCAACCAAGAACTCAACAGGTCTTAAACAGCCTATCCCACGCCAGACACAATCAATGCCTTCAATATCTACCTGCAAAGGCGTCAGAATTAAAAGGATCCGTCTCTGAAGGCACAACCTAAAGCCCAGCTGAAATTAGTTAAGCAAAAGTCACAATTCTCTGTGTGTGGTCCAATTCAGGCTTCGTCCCGGGTGGTATGGTCATCTGAGAGACCTGGGCTCACTGATTTCTAGAAGTCCCTAACAATTTATCTTTTATGCTGGTAACTCTGGAGCCGTCACCAAGGAGATGACTGTAGCTGGGATTATGGTGACAAAGCCACAAACAGGTCATCTTCAGACACAGACTTACGAAAAAAGGATAGAAAAAACACAACTCCAGTCGATGCAGACCACAGTTAAAGCAATATAAATGAACTATCACCAAAGTAAAGGAATGGGAAGGAATAAATTGAGTTTAAAAGAAGGGCAAATCATTTGTACAATGGATACTGTAGTTAACTAAAAATAACTAATGATCGTTAATAATGATGACCATTATCCATCACTGTGGCTAATGTTTTTTTAATTTATTTATTTGAAAGACAGAGTTACAGAGAAGCAGAGGCAGAGAGAGCGAAGTCTTCCATCTGCTGGTTCACTCCCCAAATGACCGCAACGGCCAGAGCTCAGCTCATCCAAAGCCAGGAGCTTCTTCCGGGTCTCCCACGTGGGCGTAGGGGCCCAAGGACCTGAGCTTTCCCAGGCCATAGCAGAGAGCTGGACTAGAAGTAGAGCAGCTGGGACTCAAACCGGCGGTCATACAGGATGCAGACACTGCAGGCGGTGGCTTTACCTGCTACGCCACAGCGCCCATCCCAACCGTGGCTAATTTTTAACACCTGTCTACATAACAAACTCTAAATATGTTCTCAGTACCAGATCCTCTGGGCTTTCGCCCTGTGAGACAGGCTGGCTGTCAGGTGTAGGACTGCAGACTACTCCACTCCTCCGGAGGTGACAAGACGGAATTAACCTGCTTGCTCCAACTTGGCATTGCTGATTCTCAGGGTGTTCTCTGGACACCTGCTTCCGGGTGGGAACCCTCAAATCAGAATCTGTAAGCAGATTCCCCGTGCAACTGTGGTGGACAGCACAGCCTGGGAGTCATTACGATAGACCAGACCCCCGGCGTCTGTCTTCAGATGGCTGCTGTCAGCTCAGACAGGCTGGCAGTCCTTTCTCAGTTGGGGCTGCTTCAAATGCTTTGACTTTCTTTTCAGAGACAAGCACATGGCAGACTAGGGACTACCTGCTAATCCCTGATGAGCTGCACATTACAGGGTTCTCAGAGTAACCTGCCTTTGGCGTAGGGAGAGACTGCTCTCTCTGCCTATATTAAAAGCAGAAACGAGAATTCAATGCAGGGGACACTGGTCAGAGAAGAAGCTGTTACAGGCCGGCACCGTGGCTCACTAAGCTAATCCTCCGCCTTGCGGTGTTGGCACACCGGTTCTAGTCCCAGTCAGGGCGCCGGATTCTGTCCCGGTTGCCCCTCTTCCAGGCCAGCTCTCTGCCGTGGCCCGGGAGTGCAGTGGAGGATGGCCCAAGTGCTTGGGCCCTGCACCCCATGGGAGACCAGGAAAAGCACCTGGCTCATGGCTTTGGATCAGCGCGATGCACCGGCCGCGGCAGCCATTGGAGGGTGAACCAACGGCAAAGGAAGACCTTTCTCTCTGTCTCTCTCTCTCACTGTCCACTCTGCCTGTCGAAAAAAAAGCAGAATAAAACCACAAGCTGTTACAGTGTCTCTGGAAGTCCCAAAGTTTTCAGAATGATGCCTGTCCTTAAACCCTCCCCCACTTCCTGGGTATGAACCCAGGGAAATACACATGACTGCAAATATTTAGTTGTAAGAATACTTCTCATGGATGGATGTTGAATTGGAATTTAATTAAGATCTGTAAGATTTTGGGGCCAGCATGACGTAGTAGGTTAAGCCTCCGCCTGTGGTGCTGGCATCCCATATGAGTGCTGGTTTGAGACCCAGCAGCTCCTCTTCCGATCCAGCTCCTTGCTAACGGCCTGGGAAAGTAGTGCAGGATGCCTCTGCACCTGTGTGGGAGACCCAGAGGAAGCTCCTGGCTCCCGGCTTCGGATCGGCACAGCGCTGGCCACTGTGGCCAGCTGAGGAGTCAACCAGCAGATGGAAGACCTCTCTATTTCTGTCTCTCCTTCTCTGTGTAACTCAATAAATAAATAAATATTTTTTTAAAAAAGAAATATATATCATTTAAATGTTTGGAAGGTATATATCTTTAAAATGTTAAATATGGGGGGTGGTGGTGTAGTACAGCAAGTTAGGCTTATGCCAGCAATGCCAGTATCCCTTGTGGGTGTTGACTTGAGTCCTGGCTGCTCCACTTCCAATCCAGCTCCCTGCTAATGCACCTGGAAAAGCAGCAGAAGATGGCTCAAATACGTGGAACCCTGGGACCATGCAGGAGACCTGGATGGAGTTCCAGGCACCCTGGCTTTTGTCTGGACCAGCACTAGCAACTGCAGCCATTTGAGGGGTGAAGCAGCAGATGGAAGATCTCTCTGTGTCTCTTCCTCTTTGTAACTTTGCCTTTTAAATAAATAAATAAATAAAATTTTAAGGTCCCCAAAGTGAAATCTGGAGATAAAGGAAACCCTGGGTTGCATCAGGTAATGGTGGGGTCCGGAGGGGAGAGAAGTTAGGCTCTGCACACGGAGAGCACATGCCCCGAAGGCTCTCAGACTCAGGTCAAGACAAAACTCGGAGGCTGGGCCTCAGCTCCAGGAAGGAGGAGGCCCCAGGAAAGCCGGCAGAAGACTGGCACCCTCCTCGAATCCCGCACCTCCAGGGGAGGGACCAGCCGTCCATTCAACCTCCGGAGCACTCCCAGAGGTGGCTGCTTTGCAGTCTTAGCTGGAGGAACTGCCGTAGAGCCTCCTGCCTCCTGCGTCCAGACGGCCGCCGGGAAATGCTGATACAAGGTGTGCCCAGCGCGGCCCCAGCAGACGTGCCTGCTGACCCGCACGCCTCTCAGAGGCCAGCAGAACACAAGCCACGTGACTTCCTCTTTCACACTCTGCTGTTCGGATAACCAAATGTGGCCATGGAACTCTCCCCGAGACTTCTGTAGGGTGGCACTCGAGTTAACAATCCCCAGGCGCAGCACAGGTCTCAGCCCCTTCACCAGTGGACCCCTGTCTTCTCCAACTGCCTCCAGTCTCCTGCGTCATTTCTAACAAGTGCTATCCGAAATGAGTCCAGTTCCATGGCTGGTCCCCTTCTGCAGCCCTCCCGATTCACAAACAGAGCTGTCACACAGCGCGACATAAGTTTCTACACACACTCTAGTCCCTCTCCTGATTCTGCGTTTGCGAGCACTTGCCACAGGATCTTTCCTGAAGTCCGGTCCCTCCGTCCAGCCTGTCAAACTCCTCCAGGATCCACCTCTGCCTTGCAAACACTGCCTTCCCCGCTGTTCTCAGCCGAGCACTCCACCAGTGCAAGAGCCAGGTGGGAAGTGGTCACTTAAGACAGCCACTTGGAACACTAGCTTCTGTGGGGCTTGGTGGGACAAGTCCAAAGTTTCCTGAGAGCCAACAGCCCCTGCCCTCGATGTGGGAGACCCGGATGGAACTCCTGGCTCCTGGCTTCAGCCTGGTCCAGCCCTGGCCTTTGCAGCCATCTGGGGAGTCAACCCCAGTGGATGGAAGATCTCTCCCTCTCCTGCTGTCACTCTGCTTTGCAAAATCAATGCATCTTTAACAAACAAAAGGCTTACAAGTCCTTCAACAGGTCAGGCTAAATGAAGAGAGCAGGCTTCCAGCAGGATACCTTTCACTGTGGAAGGTCACGAGACGACCTTCCAGTTCTTAACTGTGCTGCACAAGCTTTCTCTTTCCCTCCTAGACAGCTACAGGTTTCATCCTTTTTTATTGAGAAACCAGGTGCATTCAGGTTGAGTATCCCTCATCCAAAATGTCTGGGTTCAACAGTGGGGTGGGCGTTTGGTTCAAACAGCTAAGATGCCACTCAGAACACTCACAGCCCAAACTGGAGTGACTGGGTTGATCCACTTCCAATGGCAGCTCCTACTAACGTGCATGCTTGGAGGCAGCAGTGGCGGCTCAAGTACTTGGGTTCCAGCCACCCATATGGGAGACCCGGATGGAGTTCCAGGCTCCTGGCTTTGGCTCATACCAGCCCAGTTCTTGCAGGCATTTTTGGATAAATGAGTTCTGTGTTTTTTCTCTCTCCCTCCCTCTCCCTCTTTCTCTGCCTTTGAAGTAAATTTAAAAAAATAAATTTTCAACAACTAAAATATAGGTGGGACCAGAGGCACTTCAGAATTCATACTTTTTCTGCACACAGACAATGAGCCATCTCGGGACCCAAGTCTAAGTACAGAATTCATGGCGTCTCACGTATTCCTTACACTGCCTGATGGCAACTCTGCACATTTTTTCAGTGTGCCTACATTTTGCCTGGGACTGTCACATGGAGTCAGGTGTGCCATTTCCCACTCAAGTCGTGTCCGTGCCCAACGTCCTTCAGATTTTGGAGCCTTTTGGATTAGGGATGCTCAACCTTTTACGAGAGCTCTGATTTCCCAGAAAAACAAGAGTATTAGCTCTGGAGTCGTGCTACGGTGTACACCGAGGCACTGTGCACACCCACCTGGCTGTTGACGTTCACGTTGACGCTGGGCCGTGGGGACAGCTGAGGACTGCTCTCCATCTCCAGCAGTTTGAGCTTCTCTGCAGTTTCTTTCAGAGCTGAAAAGCATGGCAACACAGCCCATTAGTCTGCCAGGCTGTCCCAGGTGTGGGAGGGTACGAGTTTAAGTTTTGTCTTTTTTTCCTCAATACCACTGTCATCTACTAAAATTAATAATCCAAGTAAACACACAAAAAACATATATTTCCTCTCCATAACCAAATTATCTTAATTTGATTAAGAGCTAATCCTAAGCAGGAACACTGCCTTCTATCTGCACCACTCCTAACAGACAACTGGATACAGAATCTCAGTGGCATGTGTGGTTAAGATTCACCCAGGAGCTGGCATGTGGTACAGTGGGTTAAGCCACTGCCTGCAATGCTGGCATCCTGTATGAGAGCTGGTTCTAGTCTTGGCTGCCCCAATTCTGATCCAGCTCCCTGGTAATGCATCTGGGAAAGCAATGGATGATGGCCCCCGTTCTCAGGCCCCTGCCATCCATGTGGGGGACCTGGGTGGATCCTTTTCTTCCCTTGGCACAATCCAATCTCAGGTCTAATCTTAGTACATCACCATTTTTCTTCAGTGGCCCTAAGTATGCACTGCCTAAAACTAAACTCATGTGGCACAAGCTGATGAGGGACACTTCTTATCAACGCACTGATCCATTATATAATACATTGATGTCATCAGGCAGGTTACAGGACAAGCATTCCACCTTCATGGTTATCTTTCAAGCTGCAAAATACATTATAAATAAAAAACCTCCTAACCATTGAAGAAGTAATAATTTTAAACAAAGCTCATCTTCAAATAAAATCCAAATTGACTACTCTGAAGTACTCTTGTTTTGTAGGGATTAATATGATCTAAATTTGAATTTTTACACGGTTACTTGACAAGAAGTTGCTGAATGCCTAATAATTTCTATATAATCAGGTAGAAGAAAGGAGGGGAGAGCTCTGTGTAAAGGGATCTTCTAGAAGCATCCATAAATTAATCCAGAGGATTCTCTCCGATTGCACGTTAGAGCCACATGGGGAGCTTGCCGGAAATTCTGCTTCCAGGGCGCGTTCAAACCCACTGTCTCAGCATCTCTGGAGGTGCAGTTCTGCCCTGGCAGTTCTGAGAATTCTCCAGGAGCAATGATGAACCAGCAGGCCTAAAATCAAGTCACCACCATCTAAAGCGCATCCCTGGCTACTGAACTGCCATCTCCTGGTTTTCCTGTGCTTCCAGTTATCTGACTGCATTTTTAACACGATGATGTTGGGATCACAACTGCTTTGGTTTATGCTGGTAAGTTAACACTTCTTTTAGTTGAAATAAAGCTGCTTCGTCTGCTTCTGTTTAGCTGAGCAATGTTCTGAGATGCAGGACAATCGACTGCCCAAAGTGACCTCCATAACTACTTACCTATGTGAATGAAGATTTTGACATTACAACTAAAATAAGATCCTCCATACAAAGACTAGTAAGACCTTACCATAACAATTATTTTCACTGATTGAGTAAATGTTAGCTCTCTGAAGTGAGTTAAATTCACGAAACCCTTACACTACACAAGTATTTCTTCTGCCACAACCGTCACAGCTGGTGTACTTTCTCCAAGGAGGGGTCACTAATACTCAGGTACCTACTTTTATTGCACAGCAGAAACAACTAAAAAACTCTTCCCTACACCAATGCAAATTCCACTTCTCTATACATGTAAATTGCTCACCAGTACAATTCCATAAAATAAACTCTTTGATATACCACACTTGAAAATAACTGCTGAATATCACATCTCATCTCATTTAATCTTTACTTTCCTAGGCGTCCCTAGTTCATTCAGCCATGCTGTCCTCTGCTAAAAACTACGTGTTCAATAAACGCTTGCTAATCAAACACCATTATAGTGTTGAAGAAATTAAACTTTAAGAATTTCTATAATGGGAGTTGGCATTGTGGTGCAGCAAGTAAAACTGACACTTGGAATGCCAGCACCCCTTAACAGAGTGAAGGTGTGAGTGCCTGCTACTCTACCTACTCCCCATCCAGCTTCCTGCTCAGGAACCTGGGAAGGCAGCAGATACAGCCCAACTACTTGGGTTCCTGCCACCCACGTGGGAAACCCAGATGGAGTTCTAGGCTCCTGGCTGTGGCTCGGCCCAGCCCCAGTTGCTGTGGGCATTTGGGGAGTGAACCAGCAGATGGAAGCTCTCTCAATCTCTCTATCTCTCTTTCTCTGTCCCTCCAACTTCTCCTTACTTCTACTTCTCCTTCTTTCTCTGTCACTCTCTACCTTTCAAATAAATAAATCATACATGTCATGTAATGAACATAAAAATGAAATCAACACAGTGATCTTTATAAAAGGAGGCTGTTTTTATTTTAACCCTGGAAACATTCTGCATTACCTAGTCCTGCTTCTGGTTGAGTCTAAACCCTGATGTCTTTGGTTCTCTACGCCTGCTATCATTCTAGGGATGAAGAGCAAGTATTTGTAACAAGCAGTAGAGCTGAGGACAGGGCTGTCAAAACCAGCCCAAACCAAAAGAAACTACTACAGAGAAAGTGCATGAGAAACATTATGGAGGATTTTAAAAAATCTACCTAGTACTACCTTTAAAAAATCAAATTCAAGCATTATTCTGAAACTACCAACACAATAAATAACAAATAAAAAGTTAACTCTTGCTTCTCTAACCTTAGACCAACAAAGAAACCCAATGTAAAGATGGCAGATGCCAAAAGCCACAGCAGCCATGACGTATGAGAACACTTCTTTAGCTGTGCGTCCATGGTGGTTACTTGGAGAGCAAAAGAACAGGCTTCCAGCACCACGTATGACAGTGCTCAGCACGCTGGTGGCCAGAAGCACCGTGTGACTTCCCACGGACGCTGCCCTCTAACTGCTGACTCCTATCCTCTATTCTGCACCCTTCAGACCCAGCAGCGTACTCGGTGGTGTCTAACTTTGCCCTGGGCAGAGCCATGGAAATGCACGCTGCTTTACAACGTGCACGCTCTGCACCGGCCCCATCAGGAGACGCCTGTTTCAAATCAGCACAGGCTCTGACACCCAGCCAGGCCCCAGACGTTCTCCATGAGCAATTCACTTTCTCCCTTTCCTCTGAAAAAGTTAAAATAGGCAGCCTTCTTCCTGTATTACTTCTCTTCCTGAGACTAGGCAACAGTCTTCCTCATTAGGAACAAAATATCAAGTATCTTAAAAAGCTCATGGAAAATGAAAACATGTATTTATTTTGATGCAAAATAATTCGGAACTCCATGAATAGCTTTTTCATAATACACATTTTCTGTGAACTTCTGAAGACACCCTTTCTATGCGCGGCTTTCAATTTCTTGCACCAAGCAAACTTCTCTTTTAATTCCATTTTTCCACAAACCTGAGGGGCCCTCATACCTTCTCGAGGCTCATGGAATGTGCAAACACCCATGAGTTCTATGCCCTGGAAGACCTGCAGGGAAACATTCTTTTCTTTCTCCTTTGCACTTGGGAAGCAAAGTACAAATCAAGTTTGAAACCTTGTAAATGTTTAATGACTTATAAACAACACACAAGTTTAACGGCCTCAATTATATTACCCTACATATTTCAATGATCCCTTCAGTCAAAAAAAGAAAAGGGCAAGAAGACATAACTACTTTGAATGAAATTGTAAAACTGACTCTTACCTAAAATACTCCTGGAGGACCTGATTTAAAGATCTCACTTCAAAGGAAGATAAAATTAAAAGCTATTATGGAATATGACAGAACACTGACTTACTCCCACAGTCGACCACAGGCTCCTCGGATCCCGTCTGCCTAGTGGTTGTGTTCATTTCACCCGGTGTCTGGGAGGTTTCCATGGTGTCAGAGGTACCACCACCACCACCAATGGCTGTTTCCAGCAGGTCTGGGCTTTCTAGTAAATTGATACTCAGAGGCAAGCTGCAAACATAATAGAAAACTTACTTAGAACAAGAAGGTTATCATGAAAAAAAAAAAAAAGGAAAACAGTAACAAAGCTCTTTGTAGAAAAAAAAGGTGGAGAGTTTATATCCCAACTGGCTTCATTTCTCTCTAAAAACCCTTTCAGGCAAACTCCTTCCAACTGAGATGGTGTAAAAGGACTGGCTTAGACTCCTACTGCAGTAACCCAAGGAGGAAAACACTAAACAAATTTCTAGACACCAGCCACGAAGCAACAGAAGACAGAGACAACCAACAGCCGGGGTGAGCCCTGTGATTGCCTCGAGAGAATTTCCAGGCCACAGTGCAGAGGCGAAAAGTGAGGCGGAACACGTCAGACTCCTGTGCTTGAGAAGATGGGGCTGAGAGAGCAGAGAGACCAGGGCAGCCAGGAGAGTGCCAGAGAGAGCGAGCAGCAAACAGGCCTCCTGGAGCTTGGCAGCAGGTCCCCACAAGTGTGTGGCAGAGTGCTGATCGGAGCGCGAGTGTGGAGGAACTGCCCAAGGCTCAGGAAGGAACTCGGTGGACAGCTCAGAGGGGACCAGGGGCACTCACCTGGAGCTGGGCTGCAAACACACAGGGCCACAGGGCGCCGAGTATTCGGGCAGGTCTTGCCTCCACAGCGGAGGGCAATTAACCCAGACTGAGCACTGCAACACCTGCCTGACGCGCTATGACAGCAAAACCTGGAAAGATTAAACTGCTTCCAGGCAACTTCACTTCACCCCAGAACGAAGCTCAAGATTCATGGAAACTCAGTACCAACATGTCTGGCATCCAACAAAGAGAAATCCAGGGTCAAACATCCACTGCAGGATTACCAGGCACGCAAAGAGGCAGAAAAAGATATCCCCATTTAAGAAAAGAGTCAATTAACTGGAAACTGACCTAGAACAAACCACATGTTGGAATGAGCAGATAAAGACATCAGAACTTGTAACTGTATTCCATATGTTCTAAATACTAGCCAGAGGCATGGAAGATATAAAAAAAGATTCAAAATCAAACTTCTAGAGAAAAAATACATTACTGAGATGAAAAACCCATCAGGGTGGGTGTCTGGCACGGCAGTTAAGATGCCACTCAGGACACCTGCTTCCAGCTCTGCTCCTGATTTCATCTTCCTGCTAATGTGCACTATGGGAGGCAGCAGGTGAAGGCTGACATATTTAGGCCCCTGTCACTTATGTGGGAGATCTGGATGCCGTTCAGGTTCCTGGCTTCGGCTCCTGATCCAGCCCTGGCTGTTGTGGCCATCTGGGGAGTGAACTGGCAGATGGAGATCCCTTTGTCTCTCTAACTTGGCCTTTCAAATAAGCAAATGTATCTCTAAAAAAAGAAAGAAAAACACACTGGATGGAATTGATATAGATTAGATGCTAGAAAAAAATACCAAATTCAAAAGCATAGGCAATAGAAACTATTCAAAACAAAACACAAAGATAAAAAATATTCCAGAACATTAAAAGAACATTGGTTAGTTGTGGGATAACTAGAGTCTCAAAATAGAGGTAATACAGAACAAATATTTTTGAATAAATAATGGCTCAAGGGGGCTGGCACTGTGACATAGTGGGAAAAGCCACCACCTGCAGTGCCAGCATCCTATATGGGCGCCAGTTCAAGTCCCAGCTGCTCCACTTCTGATCCAACTCCCTGCTAATGTGCCTGGGAAAGCAGTGAAAGATGGCTCAAGTACTTGGGCCCCTGCACCCAGGTGGGAGACCCAGATGAAGCCCCTGGCTTCTGCCTTCTGACTGGCCCAGTTCCAGCCCTTGCAGCCATTTGGGGAGTGAACCAGTGAATGGAAGACCCCCCCCCACCTCTCCCTCTAACTGCCTTTCAAATAAATAAAATTTTTAAAGTGAATAATGTGGTACATGACTTATATCTTAATAAAGCAGATGAAAGAGGTAAAATAAATACAATGTCACATGTACAAGTCATAACCAAAAAAATTCATTTCAAAAAATATTAATAGAAAACCCTTGCAGAAGCAAAATGACACCAGATGAATATATGGATCTAAACAACGGAAGGCAGAGTATTGGAAAAGGCAGGTATGAAGGTAACACACAGAGGGGTTTCTCCTTAGTGTTTACAGTGTCTGAAGACATAAGAGATTGTTTAAACAAAAATAATGACAATGTATTCTGGCTTATGACATATATACAAATAAAACCCTTGACAAAAGAGAGCAGAACTGGGAATAAAGAAGTGGAAGAACATTAATATGAGGTTCTTGCAGTAGGCATAAAATGCACGATACCGCTTGAGAGTAGACGATGATAAAGATGTACACTCTCAAAAATTACTAATAAGAAAACAGTTACAGCTAAGGAGTGAATAAAGGAAATGAACAGAATATGAAATACTGATTAATGAAAAGGAAACACAGCAAGAGGAAATACTTACACTTAATCATACTGAACATTTAGAAATGGTCGAAACATCCAGTCTTCAAATGCAGAGACTTGTCAGTTAAGAAGCAGAATCCAATTACATACTGCCCACACAAAACACAATTTATATGTAACAGATCAAAAAGATTAAAAGCAAAAGGATAAAAATATACCATGGTAACAGTAGTCAAAGAAAGGTAGAAGAGACATGCTGATAGCAAAGTCAAGTTCACAGCAAAGGGGTGAATTCAGAGACTGTAACAACCCGGAACACTTATCACCCCAAAGACAGAACTTAAAATACATGAGCCAAAACTGGTAAAACTGCAGACGGAAGTGCACAACTCTATAATCATAGCTGGATATTTCTACACTGTTCTCTTAGTAACTGACAGAACAAGCAGGCAGAAAACCAACAATACAGTAAACTTAACACTAACAGTCCATAGAGACATATATTTCCACTGGACAGTTACCTGCCAGGCACGCCAGGCCTAGTATGTCCTGGGGATCTTAAGGTGATGGAGGGATAATTGGCTTTCCTGGAAGCTGAGGACATGCAGGACTATCAGGGAAGTCTGGGAGGAGAAGGAAGCCTGGGTACAGGCCAAAGCCAGAAGAGGGAGTGAGGTACAGGAAGACTAGTGTAACTCTGTGACGCAGATTGGTGGCTGAGCGGGATACCTGCCACCGTTTCATAGAAAGTCCTTCAGCTGGAGACAGTCATCAGCACATTGGCTTCTAAGATCCGGCCGGGACTCTGCTTGACCTGGGTTCCCACGTCCGCCTGGCTTCCAAGGCTTTCTCTCCTGGCCCTTGTGCTATCTGGGCCTCTGCTGCCATGCTCACACCACACACTACGGCAGGACCCACCGTCTCCCCAGTTCCCCAGCCCCAGGCTTGGATGCCTCCCTTGCACTGACTGGCAGACTGCTCCAACCAATCCTCAACCACCGCCAGGCCAGGAGCTCTCTGTTACCCATTTACCTATATCCTGTTTTTTTTTTCTTAAAGATTTTTTATTTGAAAGGCAGAGTCAGAGACAGAGAGAGAGAGAGAGAAAGAGATCAATCCTCCATCCACTGGTTCACTCCCCAAATGGCCACAATGGCCAGGGTTGAGCCAGGCCAAAGCCAGGAGCTTCTTACGGTTCTCCCACGTGGGTGTGGGAGCCCAAGGACTTGGGCCATCTACTGCTTTCCCAGGCCACAACGGAGAGCTGGATCAGAAGTGGAGCAGCCAGGACTCTAATCAGGTCCCATATGGAATGTCGGCATTGTTAAGTGGCAGCTTATGCACACACCACAACACTGGCCCCTACCTGCAAGCTTACTGAATCCAATGTTCACGGGTACGGATTATACTTGAGTTCTTTACATTTGAAACACTATTCTCAACCAGGTATAGGAATGACACATTCATCGGTACAGAGCTGAACAACAAGCAGGACGGCATTTTCTCTGGCCTGTCAGAATTAACTGCCCCTGAGAGAGACAAACAGGCAGTGACAGTATTTTAGAGTTACACTGGGAGAAGAAAAGATTTTTGAATTCTTTAAAATATTTTTAAAAACTGATTTTGATTTGCTTATTTACCTTCCTGTCTTCATCTGCTTCAAAAGACAGAATTTTCAAGTTTTTAAAGCGAGGTAAAACGCACACTGAGTAATTTATTCAAAACAAAATTCTCTTATATTATCTGATCATTTCAAACAAAAATATTTTGATCCTAAAAAACAAAGCTGACTCTCAAAGCACTCTGCAGACACAGCACAGATGCGGGAGAGCCGCAGGAGAATGGGAGGTATCCTGTGAGCGGAAGAAAGCGAGGAAGGGGGAAAGGCTGACAGGGAGGAACCGGGAGAACGCGGGCTCCAGGTCATTTCTGAGTGTCTCTGTGCTGACGGGCCACCTTTCCACAACCCCCTTTCCTGCACACGGCCCCAGGTGCACACCTCGAAAGCTCTCGTAGAATTCTAGGCGGTGTGCCCACGTGCGTGTCCACGTCCTCGCCTTCCCCTCTAAGAGGGACCTCACAGGGTTGTTGTGAGGCTCAAACAAGACACGTGCACGTCGGCCGGCGCTGCAGCTCACTAGGCTAATCCTCCGCCTTGTGGCACTGGCACACCAGGTTCTAGTCCCGGTCGGGGCGCCGGATTCTGTCCCGGTTGCCCCTCTTCCAGGCCAGCTCTCTGCTATGGCCCAGGAGTGCAGTGGAGGATGGCCCAAGTCCTTGGGCCCTGCACCCCATGGGAGACCAGGAGAAGCACCTGGCTCCTGCCATCGGATCAGCGCGGTGCGCCGGCCGCAGCGGCCATTGGAGGGTGAACCAAAGGCAAAGGAAGACCTTTCTCTCTCTCTCTCTCACTGTCTACTCTGCCTGTCAAAAAAAAAGACACGTGCACGTGAAGATGCTGTAAAGACATAAACAATATCGTGGATCAAACAGGAATTGGAAAGGAAAATATTTTGAACTAAATGGAGGCACAGCATAACCAAATTTGTGAGGTGATACTAAGGCAGTATGTAGATGAGAAGTAAAGCACATGACCGGGGCCAGGTGATTAAGATGTTGGCT